GTGTGGCTGATTGACTGGGAGTTACTTACAGGGACTTTCTACCTGATGTATGGCTGAGTGACTGGGGGTAACCTACAGGGACTTTCTACCTGATGTGTGGCTGCATGACTTGGGTTACTTACAGAGACTTTCTACCTGATGTGTGGCTGAGGGACTGGGGGTTGCTCACAGGGACTTTCTACCTGATGTGTGGCTGGTGACTTGGGGTTACTTACAGGGACTTTCTACCTGATGTGTGACTGGTGACTTGGGTTACTTACAGGGACTTTCTACCTGATGTGTGGCTGAGTGACTGGGGGTTGCTCACAGGGACTTTCTACCTGATGTGTGGCTGGTGACTGGGGGTTACTGACAGGGACTTTCTACCTGATGTGTGGATGGTGACTGGGGGTAACCTACATGGACTTTCTACCTGATGTATGGCTGAATGACTGGGGGTAACCTACAGGGACTTTCTACCTGATGTGTGGCTGAATGACTGGGGGTTACTTACAGGGACTTTCTACAAGATGTGTGGCTGAGTGACTGGGGGTTACTTACAGGGACTTTCTACCTGATGTGTGGCTGAGTGACTGGGGGTAACCTACAGGGCCTTTCTACCTGATGTGTGGCTTAGATACATAGATACATTACCGGTCAATGTCTGGAGAACTTTGAATATAAACAGAGACGAGGACTATATGGAGAAGTTCCCCATTATATATTTAATACTTCTACCTGATATCCTGTAGTGCAGGGTTTGATGATGGCTGCTGACAAAATAGAGAATTTACTACATCTGTAAAATAATAATAAAATTGTGTGGTCCCCATCTATTTTTGATAGAAGGAAAACTATATTTGTCACACTTGTGGTGATTACTGGTCATTTGAGACTACAAGGTGTTTCTCGGCTATACAGATTTCTACACAGATAATATATCCAGTCTCAATGACTAATATCGGCACTCAGTAGGTAGTTTATCCGCGCACAGTCATACTTAATTCTATGCATAATATTGAAGGATTATCGTAGATATAGCAGGTGGACAGAGTGGGTTTCACCTGTGTACATGACTGACCCCACCTGACAGAGTGACCAAACCCTTAGGTGCCATGATGACCTTTGTTGACCGAGGTCAGTTCAGTTTGGCCGATATGTGATACGGGTGGATTAGGTGTAAACATTTGTCTCTTATGCAACCTGAATTGGCTCAGTTAAGTACCCTTCAACAGAATTGGATGTTGGTAATATGAACGGCTGGCGTAAGGCCTTGTTTACCTTGGACAGACCACAGCCCACTAGTACACCTTAAATAACCAGCACTAGGTACATATTTGAATTTGAAAGTCACTGGTCAACATGTTGTGTAACGAACAAGATGTTAAGTCATTTTTATTGTCAAAAGAGATTGAAGCGATTGAAATTATTCATCAGTTGGTGACATTGGTGAAAGTGAACAAACTGGGATATTAGACTTCAACATTTAACCTATCTTGTACTAACATATAGTGTTGGTAAGAGAGAAATTTGTCTACCAAGAAAGTCATTTTAACAATAAACGTTTATTTTGCTCATTTACATATAAAGCAAACACATTTACTGATTCCTGTTTCCTATTAAGTTAAATACATTTTCAAAAAAGTGATTATCTTTAAATAAATATCCTGAAGCTAAACAAAATGATACATGTTTCTTTCTATTTCTTGTTGTACTTGGGTTACATCTGTTTGTGTGAGTCACCCTGTGTTACATCTATGTTTGTGTGGGAGACTCCCTGTGTTACATCCGTGTTTGTGTGAGCCTCCTTGTGTTACATCTGTGTTTGTGTGAGCCTCCTTGTGATACATCTGCGTTTGTGTGAGCCTCCCTGTGTAACATCTGTGTTTGTGTGGGAACCTCCCTGTGTTACATCTGTGTTTGTGCGAGCCTCCCTGTGTTACATCTGTGTTTGTGTGGGAACCTCCCTGTGTTACATCTGTGTTTGTGTGAGCCTCCTTGTGTTACATCTGTGTTTGTGTGAGCCTCCTTGTGTTACATCTGTGTTTGTGTGAGCCTCCCTGTGTTACATCTGTGTTTGTGTGAGCCTCCCTGTGTTACATCTGTGTTTGTGTGAGCCTCCCTGTGTTACATCTGTGTTTGTGTGAGCCTCCCTGTGTTACATCTGTGTTTGTGTGAGCCTCCCTGTGTTACATCTGTGTTTGTGTGAGCCTCCCTGTGTTACATCTGTGTTTGTGTGAGCCTCCCTGTGTTACATCTGTGTTTGTGTGAGCCTCCCTGTGTTACATCTGTGTTTGTGTGAGCCTCCCTGTGTTACATCTGTGTTTGTGTGAGCCTCCCTGTGTTACATCTGTGTTTGTGTGAGCCTCCCTGTGTTACATCTGTGTTTGTGTGAGCCTCCCTGTGTTACATCTGTGTTTGTGTGAGCCTCCCTGTGTTACATCTGTGTTTGTGTGAGCCTCCCTGTGTTACATCTGTGTTTGTGTGAGCCTCCCTGTGTTACATCTGTGTTTGTGTGAGCCTCCCTGTGTTACATCTGTGTTTGTGCGAGCCTCCCTGTGTTACATCTGTGTTTGTGCGAGCCTCCCTGTGCTACATCTGTGTTTGTGTGAGCCTCCCTGTGTTACTTCTGTGTTTGTGAGAGCCTCCCTGTGTTACTTCTGTGTTTGTGAGAGCCTACCTGTGTATCATCCGTATGTGAAGTCAGCTAGGTTACAAGCTCAAGTAACAGGTAAATACGTCAATGAAATATAAGAATGGAAAAAAAAATAAAAAAACATATAGTCTTGCTAAAGAATTTTTCCTTTCCAGAGTTTGAGTAGGAAAAGAATTGTCTTAATTACACTTGTGTATACATGTGCCATGCATGTGTTTCTTACTATATCTAGTAACTTCATTGATAATGTCAGAGGGCAGAAATTGCGTGCTGAGTTGGTATATTTCCTGTTGAACAGCACCCAATGACAGAGGACTCTATACGCTGGGATTGCGAGAAAGTGAAAATTGTCATGAATGAAATACCTGAATGGGTTTTAATACGGTGACTGGTGAATGGATATTTTGTGGCTAAGAATGAGTTTAAATTGTGATTTTTTATTTGTGGTTTGTTCCTTTTGGAGAGAATTTGTGAATGAAACAAATTCGGTTTGACTAAATTGAATATAAAATACTATATTTAAACATTTGTGAGTTCCAGATTGTAAAAAAGATTAAATATTTCATTTTGCTAAATGTGAGCAAAAAAGATTTAATTATGCAAATAAAATCATATATTTCATTTCATAGATTAAATATCAAATGTAAATTAAATTTAGAATACCACAAATTAGCTAAACATACCATTGATTAGTAAGTGAGATATTCTACTGATTAGTGAGTTAGATATACCACTGATAAGTGAGATATACCACTGATGAATGAAATATACCACTGATTAATTAGGTATACCACTGATTAGCAAGGTATACCACTGATTAGTGAGGTATAAACCACTGATAAGTGAGATATATCACTGAATAGTTAAGTGTGAAGTATACCTCACTAATCAGTGAAGTATAGTTTACTGATTTGTGAGCAAGAATACCACTGATTAGTAAGGTATACCACTGATTAGCGAGGTATACCACAGATTAGTGAGGTATACCACTGATTAGTGAGGTATACCACTGATTAGTGAGTTATATCACTGTTTAGTGAAGTAATTAGATTACTGATTTGTGAGCAAGAATACCTCTGATTAGTAAGGTATACCACTGATTAGCGAGGTATACCACTGATTAGTGAGGTATACCACTGATTAGTGAGGTATACCACTGATTAGTGAGGTATACCACTGATTAGCAAGGTATAAACCACTGATAAGTGAGATATATCACTGAATAGTTAAGTGTACCAATAGATTGTGAATTAGATAACTGATTTGTGAGCAAGATATACCAATGATTAGTGAGGTATACCACTGATTTGTGATTTGCTGTACCACTGATTATGAGTGACCTTTACCACTGATTTAAAAGCAAGTTATACCACTGATTTGTGAGTAAGACCTACCACTGATAAGGAGAAGAGATAAATACACTACTAATAAGTGAATGAGATTTGACTGATTAATTCACGATTGCCTGTATTGCCTCCCAGCTGGGACATAAAGACCTAATATATGGTGACACACACAATAGGATTCTACCTTAGTGTCCACCGTCCCTTTAAACACCTTGTCTGTGATCCCACATTTATCACTGGCCCTAAATGGGTTCTCCAGTTATATGTCACTGGTCGACTACTGGTACATTTTATGATGGTGTGGTCACTGTTATAAAGAACTTTAACTTGGCCTATATATATTTATAATTTAAATGTATACCTATGATATGGGGCCTACACCCTATCTGAGGAGTACGGTGCTATACAGCTAGGTCCGTGAAGATAGCTGCTCAGCGGTACACCTACAGCGCTGTCCTCAGTCGTTCACTCGTTCACAGGGAACCAGGATGTGCACGTGTAGAGCATGAATTCACGCGGTGGTGCTGGAAAGTGAAGAGTGCATAACATCAGACTGATATTGTGAAGGATTACAGATCTGAGAAAAAAATTGCATGATTAGTGTTTCAGGAATTTCAGTGTTGGATATTTAAAAATCTTGAAATTGAAGGTTTTCCTTGAAATAATCTATAAAGGATATTAATTGACATGATTTTCTGTGACCAATAAGTGTTGGAGATTAGGATTAACGTACCTGGCGATTCAGTCACATGTTTTGTGTGGTGTGATTCGTTACACACATAAACTTTTACATTTAATATATTCCTTCGAGGTAAAGGTGCTGTATTCCTCAGACTTACTGGATTAGACAAATATAATGACAGTTAACTTCTGAGGCTTCAGTCTCACACAAATTGTGCCAATTCGGATTTGTTTGAAGTGAAAAAGACTTTGTTTTCAATAATTGACCATGTATAAGCTGTGTTACACTTTGTTTGTGGTGCTTGTGATTGATATGACCAGCGTGATTCTTACTTCAGCACAGGATAGTCGATGTGGATTAGAGAAGGACCGCGGACCCTGTTCCGAGTTTGGAGCTAAGTGGTATTATGACTCCGGAAGAAAAGGTTGTTTTCAGTTTTGGTACGGTGGATGTGATGGAAACACAAATCGGTTTGAATCTGAAGAAGACTGCCAGAAGCATTGTTCGGGATACACGGGTACTGTTGGAGGGACAGGTACATATTTGTTTGGCATGCCATGCTTCCATACCTTGCCTTGAATGCAGCTCCATTGATGCCTACACTTTTACCAGCAGCTGCATCCTACCCGACGCTTAGTTTGCTTGTCTGATTTCAGCAATATTTGTTTGATATGATTTGTTGCAGCAGGACTTTCATACTTGGTTTCTGTTCATTCCTTTTTCTCATACTTTCCCATTCAGGGAGGCCTCTTGCTTTTGCACATGCATTGCATGCTCATTGACATGCTGGCTTCTCATTAGGTGACTCACTTTCAGGCATGTTTAAGAAAATGTAGTGATCTAATTGGTCGTTCACCCATATACAGCTGAACTGCTTCTGCTAAAGTATTTTATGTTTATGTCTAGGGCTTACCAAGTAATGTCTGCTCCAAGATACAGGTGTATACAACCCAACTCATTATCTAAAGTGCAACTTTTACAAAATTTTAAATGTCAAGTACTGTTATAGTGCTGTAGCTGTTCTCACATTCGATAATTTTATTTTTATTTTCATTTTTTTTTTTTTTAAATTAATCATTTTTTTTGTCAAAAATGTAAAATGAGGTATCGTATCTATTGACCATTGCCTCAGAAAATCATGCTGGGCAATATAATGTAATGAATGTTGCGGTCATGACATCTCATTGGCCACCAGCTGTATGTTTGTTAATTGTACAAACATTTTGCAAATGAATTTATTTGAGACAAGTTGTCTGGGTTTTTTATCGACAACATAGCACATGAAGTGGTGGCCACATGATATCAATTTATAAAAATATTACAAAAACCATTGCACAGATGAGACTGATCAAACTGAGAGGAGAACTAGCAGTGTTTTTATTAAGATCTTATGATTCTGTAACTGAATTCTTGTAATGGTTATAGATATAACTGTAAGACTAGGGTAGGATTTGTTTCATCCTTTTTTTATGTTTGTAGTGTAGGCTGTTATTTATATTTATTATTTGTAATTTTCTTTTTTACAAGCATTTTTACTTAGTGGCAATTACTGCTATGATATTTATGGAATTGGGCGTTGATTCCCCTTACATAATTTCTCAATCTGCAATGCACATCTCTTTTCATATCCAGCTGAATACTAAGTATTCTAGTAGTCATACTGTATCCCTTCTAGTGCTGTACACTTCCTAGCTGGTAGCCGACTTACCTTTCTGCTGGTAAACGCTCTTATTTCTATCGATAATTATGTGTTTAAGAAGTAATAGAGAAATTTGTCAATAGCATTCATGGAAAAGTGTTTTTATAGAAAAGTTATCTGTAGTTATTTATGAGCAATATGGTAACCAATCACTTGAAATGATTTTCATATAAACTGTTGGACCATTAAACTTAATGAGCGTTTATCCTAATGTTTCCTTTCTGGGTAAGTGTTTGTGTGATAGATGATGACCTTGTGTACAGTACAAATTGGCCAAGGTTAGAACGACTAGAAGTGAATGGCGGTATCCCTAACATTGAGGAAAGAAATCTCTTCCCAGAATTCCTCACAATTACATAACCAACAGTACAATAGGTTTTATCTTCTACATCACGTAACTTCATTGCTGCATTGTTTCTCTATAACCTTTCACTTCTTGACATTATGTTATGCAATGCTAATCATATGACCTTTGACCCCAGCCATCTTCAGCATTGGTACCTCACTATTACATAATAAGGTGTGACCTGTGACCTTTGTTTTTGGGGAGGGTTTGTTTATGGGTGATAAGCTAGTGTATGTGTTTTGTCTAGCGATGGTACCGAGACATTATAGCGTATACAAGTCTCTGATCTGTTATAAGGAAGATGGGCAGAGGGGTCTGGTTAATAATGATGGGATTGTATCAAGTCACACATGAAGTTCTGTTAGGTGTGTATACCATTGTAGTCTAATCCTGTATCAAACAAGACTGTAATACAAAGACAACAGCAGTCTTTGAAACTAAATCTGGAACCACTATACACTTATAAGTGTGTGGAGACTGACATTTAATATAGGACTTTTTGTGTTTCCTTATTAGCTGCTATATGTCAAGGTGCTAACCCTATATATAGAGTATTACTTTAGCTGGTGTGTGCCACATTCTCTCCTATACACTGTATTACTGTACGTGTAGTTGGTAATACTCGCGGGGAATTCAATTTACCCTATATTTGGTCACGAAAGATACCACGCAATTAGATATTCAACCAATATTGATACCCTGATTTATAATTTGCGTGAACATATATATACAGACAAAAGAAAAACATCTGACGACCCATTTTCTGCCATGTAATGAAGATAAACAACAATCCAATATTACATTTTACTTTATTTTTACAAAATACCGGTAACATGGATTCCATCATCCAAATACAACAGTACCCTCGTGAGCAGTTAATTATACCTAGCGATATTGTGCAAAATTTAATCCCCCTAAAGTAGCTTTGATTTGGACAACTGTGAAATGTTGGCTCCCAAGAATTAAGCAGCTATACAGTACTTTAGCTGGTGTGTGTGACTTTCTGCCCTGTATAGAGCTTTACCTCCGGTGATTTATGTCTCATTCTCCCGTACATTAGTATGGAGTTTCAATGTGCTAACATTCTCTCCTATAGTGTCAGGAGACTAAGATATTTTATGGTGTAGCTTCTGCTCACAACTGCAATGTTTAAATAATTGTGTGTAACTGCACAATGTGGGGCACGTTGAATGGCAACGTTTGTCAGGTTAGTAATTTCCAGTCTGTATCAACATGACAAATTGTAGCTAGACTGTCTTAATAAAGATAGCTATACAAACACATGAGACACATGAGGCTCAGTGGACTTTATTTAGATAAACAAGTTACAAACCAGCTGAATGGTCTGGGGAAAAAAATTCTTACTTTTGTCTTTTGTCAGCATGAAGTGAAATCGTGTCAATGTCAATGCAACCACCTAGATTTTCTCGGGTACAAAATTACTTGACATTTACAGGTAAAAACAAACAAGGTAGGATAGAAATGTATTAAAATTGATCTTAGTTTTATTGTAGATGAGGAAGGAATCGATACCCTACAGATTTATCTTGTCCCACTCATTTAATGCTGATATATGGAAACTAAGTAATAAAATAAATAATACTGATATTCAGAAAGACGATAAAACAATTTGATGATAAGTTCATTTGAGGTTGCTCTTAAATTACACTGGTTTATATTTGGTAATAAGGGTTGACTTGGTATAAGACAGGGGGCTCTGTTGAAGTGTAATACAGGCTTGGCTTGGTATAAGACAGGGGGCTCTGTTGGAGTGTAATAAAAGCTTGACTTGGTATAAGACAGGGGGCTCTGTTGGAGTGTAATACAGGCTTGACTTGGTATAAGACAGGGGGCTCTGTTGGATTGTAATAAATGCTTGACTTGGTATAAGACAGGGGGCTCTGTTGAAGTGTAATACAGGCTTGGCTTGGTATAAGACAGGGGGCTCTGTTGGAGTGTAATTCAGGCTTGACTTGGTATAAGACAGGGGGCTCTGTTGGTGTGTAATACAGGCTTGACTTGGTATAAGACAGGGGGCTCTGTTAGAGTGAAATAAAAGGTTGACATGGTATAAGACGATGGGCTCTGTTGGAGTGTAATACAGGGTTGACATGGTTTGAGACGGTGGGCTCTATTGGAGTGTAATACATGGTTGACTTGGTATGAGACAAGGGGCTCTGTTGGAGTGTAATTAAGGGTTGACTTTGTATTAGACAATTGTGCTCTGTTGGAGTGTAATACAGGCTTGACTTGGGATAAGACAGGGGGCTCAGTTGGATTGTAATAAAGGCTTGACTTGGTATAAGACAGGGGGCTCTGTTGGAGTGTCATTAAGGGTTGACTTGGTATTAAACAATTGTGCTCTGTTGGAGTGTAATACAGGCTTGACTTGGGATAAGACAGGGGGCTCAGTTGGATTGTAATAAAGGCTTGACTTGGTATAAGACAGGGGGCTCTGTTGGAGTGTAATATAGGGTTGACTTGGTATAGGACAGGGGGCTCTGTTGGAGTGTAATTAAGGGTTGACTTGGTATTAGACAATTGTGCTCTGTTGGAGTGTAATACATGGTTGACTTGGTATAAGACAAGGGGCTCTGTTGGAGTGTAATACAGGGTTGACTTGGTATAAGACAGGGGGCTCTGTTGGAGTGTAATAAAGGGTTGACTCAGCATTAGATGGGGGAAATTAAGAAAAAAGGAGGGAATCGTGTAACAGACCTGGCTGGTAACTAGGTAGCTCAGTAATTATAACATCTGTCCAGACTTGGGGTTATGAGTTAGAATCCCTTTATAACTATAACATCTGTCCAGACTTGGGGTTATGAGTTAGAATCCCTATATAACTATAACATCTGTCCAGACTTGGGGTTATGAGTTAGAATCCCTATATAACTATAACATCTGTCCAGACTTGGGGTTATGAGTTAGAATCCCTATATAACTATAACATCTGTCCAGACT